ATTTTTGCATCTATATTCATGAGAGATATTGGTCTGTAATTTTCTTTTTTTGTGACGTCTTTGCCTGGTTTTGGTATCAGCATTGACATTTTTTTAACAGAATTTACTTGAATATAAATTTTAATTACAAACGGAGTTAGAGGTAGCTCAACTTTAAGAAATATATGATCATAAAGTTCTGGCAAGTTAATAAAAAGGAAGCAAAAATATGAGTGTAAAAGCCTTTGGCGTTATAATAAAAGTAAAGGCTATTTAGCTTTCAACACTTGGTAGAAACTCTGGAGTTGGGCTCCCAGGTTCAAATCAAGGCCCTACCACTTACCAGCTGAGTAAGTATCTTAATTAACCTTGCTGGGTCCTGCTAATCTCATTAGTAAAATGGACTGGTGTAAGGCCTACCTTATGGGGTTCTATGTACACAAGATACTTCACACAATGCCTGTAACATAATAAGCACTCAACAAATGTTAGGTAGGCAGAAGCAATAATAATAGTGCCCACTGTTGAGTCAGGAGTACAGAGAAAGCAGTGACTTCCCAAAAGAAGAAAAAAAACTCTCAAAATTCACTACATACACTGAGATCATCTCCATCTTCTGATTTTTTTTTTTTTTTTTTTGCCAAGAACTCCTGCCTTGTTTTTATTATCTGCAAAGACTTCTAAACTGGAACGCTGACTCTATTGACTCTAGTACCCTCTCCTTTCTCATGCTCCTTTATTCCTTTTCCCACTTGCCTATTAGCTCCATAATGGCAGGGACTTGGGTCTGTTGTCATCCACCACTATATCCTCAAGTGCTTGTAACAGTGCTCACCATACAGGAAATGCTCAGCAAATACTCGTTGAACTCATCCATGCATGCATGAATGGCATATTTCCAAGCAAAAATAAAAATGGAAAACAGACTGCAGAAAAGAGAAGACTTAAGGATGTAACAACTGGAAGGAGAGGCTGAACCCTGCGAGGGCCTAGCCATCATGTTATACGTGGCCTACGGGTGATACAATCCCAGACTATACTACATAACCCTGACTAGTAGGGTGTTCTGTATTCCACAACATTCCAGAGCCACTTGAACACCAACACCTAATTGTGCTTGACTCCTAGATGCAGAGAGGTTGGGAGTGACCCGAATTGATTCAAGAGAAAATTATTTTTCTTTCTTAATAAATTTTTAGTTATTTTCATTTATTCTTATCAATATAACTGCACAAATTCTCAAATAATTCACTCTAAAGGAATGTCTGAAAATAAAAAAATAAAGTAAAAACAGTCTGTACAATGATTGTTTAAGAAACAGAATTGTACATCTTCAGGGATTTTGACAATAGGGCCAAAAACAAATCCTCATTACCTATCACCAATTTAGTTTTTCTCAGCTTTAAAACTGGAAGGTTGAGACTATATAATCTTAAGGTCCGCTTGCAGCTAAAAATTCTACAAACACCATACCTTAAACATTTTTATTCTCCATTCCATAAAAACTCTTGAAAACGTGGGGATAGGAATAAATAAAACAAAGGGGTATTATCTCCAAATTTCGTAATTTTCACTCAGTGGGCACTTAGATTTCTACTCTCATCCTTACAGTTTCCTCCTAATGTCCTCTAGGCTGAAAAATCCAAACATGATGAAAACTGTACACTAGATAAGAATAAGCGGAATTCACAAATCCATCCTGACTGAGAATAAAGCAGTGAGCGGAAGACACAGTTGCTGCCCTCATGAAGCTTCATTATAAACTGTGATGAACGCATTTTTTCTTAAAGTGAGGTTGCTATGAAAGCATATGGGCGAGGACTGACATTTGAATTAATATCTAAAGGACATTAACTGAGCAATGCAGGGAAGGAGAAAGTGTCCTAGGCAGAGAAAACCTCAGTTAGGTCAAGGGAATTAGAGAAGGACTGTCTCTCTGGCTGTTGTTTCAGATGCCCAAAGACTGGTAGATCCCAGGTCTCTGATGTGGCTCTCTTAAAACACACATGCACACATACACACAATTATGAATGAAAAATTAGTACGAGGCTCTAGAAGGGTCCCTGAAGCTTACTTCACCTCTGCAAAGAGTTTTGCTGTTTTTCAAATTATTTTGGAGGACAGAGTTTCAGATGAATGGTGTACTAATTGAGGTTTCATTTCGTCCAGTGCCTTTGGGAGTAAAAGCAATGGATCAGATAATTCTGAACTGTGCTATTCCCGATTTCCCTGACTCTCCCCGCAAATAATTCCTTTTCAGCAATATTTTCTTCTAAGCACTATACTCTTCTACTGATTCATGTAAATCATTTAATTAACTACAACCACTCGGCAAAAAAGAAC